GAAGCTCTCGCTTGCTAAGTCTTCCCGCCAAAGCTGTAGTGAATGGTATGATCTGTTCTCTTTCTTCTCTTTTAACAGTTTTGTCACCAACTGAAACCCTTAAGTTTCTCTGGCGACTTGTCTGTTTTTGGACCAGTCTCTTTATATGGCTCTGTTTCGATCTTGCTCGCACGCATAAGAGCATTTCTTGTCCCTAACTTTTCAGGATCTTCCGAGACGTTCCAAGTGATATAACCATAGAAGTAAACGGTGGAAACTTTGCTCTGCATAAGGTATGTATTATTATTACTAACCAACACAATCCATCATTTCTTTCTTAATCAATGGATGCAATTATTGAACCAGTGTTTGATTCTCCATTTCTCAGTTCCCTTTAGTCTCTCGAAGTGGAAGAATCCGAAGAATCGTTGCAGAACACAGAGATTCAGATATCTCCAAAGTGGAGCTTCTCAATCTCCCAGGAGGAGCAGAGACATTCGAACTAGCAGCCAAATTCTGCTACGGTATTAACTATGAGATCACTTCCTCAAACGTTGCGCAGCTCTTTTGCGTCTCTGACTACCTCGAGATGACAGAAGAGTATTCCAAAGACAATCTGGCTTCAAGAACAGAGGAGTATCTCGAGAGCATCGTATGCAAGAACCTTGAGATGTGTGTGCAAGTCTTGAAACAGTCTGAGAATCTGCTCCCTCTTGCAGACGAACTTAATATCATAGGTAGATGCATCGATGCCATTGCCTCAAAGGCGTGCGCGGAGCAGATCGCTTCAAGCTTCTCACGCTTGGAGTATAGCAGCTCAGGGAGGCTGCACATGAGCAGGCAGGTGAAGAGCAGCGATGGAGGAGATTGGTGGATTGAGGATCTTTCGGTTCTTAGGATTGATTTGTATCAGAGAGTGATGAACGCAATGAAGTGTCGTGGCGTGCGTTCAGAGAGTATTGGAGCTTCTTTGGTTAGCTACGCCGAGAGAGAGCTTACCAAGAGATCTGAGTCCGGACATCATGAGCATGAACAAACCATTGTTGAGACAATTGTTACTCTTTTGCCTGTCGAAAAGCTTGTGGTTCCCATAAGTTTTCTCTTTGGGTTACTGAGAAGAGCGGTGATGCTTGATACCTCAGTAACCTGCAGGCTTGATCTAGAGAGGAGGATCGGTTCTCAGCTCGATATGGCGACTCTAGACGATCTCTTGATCCCGTCTTTTCGTCACGCAGAAGACACTTTGTTCGAAATTGACACGGTTCACAGAATCTTGGTGAACTTCTCACAGCAAGGAGGAGATGATAGCGAGGATGAAGAGTCTGTGTTTGAATGCGATAGTCCACATTCGCCTTCACAAAGCGCCATGTTTAAAGTTGTAAAGCTTGTAGACAATTATCTTGCAGAGATAGCTCCTGATGCTAACCTTGACCTTCCAAAGTTCTTGCTAATTGCAGAAGCCTTACCGCCTCATGCTCGCACCCTTCATGATGGATTATACCGTGCCATTGATCTCTATCTTAAGGTAACTTGCTTCAAAACTATTGTACTTCTCTTGTCTTGTTAAAACTTATGTTAGGTTTATGCTCCCAGGCACATCAAGGGTTATCAGATTCAGACAAGAAGAAACTGTCAAAACTTATTGACTTCCAGAAACTCTCACAAGAGGTTGGAGCACATGCTGCGCAAAACGAGCGGCTTCCTCTGCAATCCATTGTTCAAGTTCTCTACTTTGAGCAACTGAAGCTCCGAAGTTCCTTGTGCTCTTCCTACTCAGACGAAGAACCAAAGCCAAAGCAGCAGCAACATCAGTCATGGAGAATCAATAGTGGAGCTCTCAGCGCAGCAATGTCGCCCAAAGACAACTACGCATCTCTGAGGAGAGAAAACCGGGATTTGAAACTCGAGTTAGCTAGATTGAGAATGAGACTGAACGATCTAGAGAAGGAGCATATATGTATGAAGAGAGATATGCAGAGGTCTCATTCGCACAAATTCATAAGCAGCTTCTCAAAGAAAATGGGGAAACTGAGCTTCTTTGGGCATAGTTCTTCAAGAGGATCAAGTTCTCCATCAAAGCAATCCTTCAGAACAGACTCCAAGGTGATGGAGAGAACTTGTGCAAGCATGGACTAGCTCAATTTAAAGTTTTTGTCCACTTTAAAATTTTATTTCTTCTCTTATCTTTACCTATTGCTGCCTTTTGAGTGAGTGCAAAGACAGACTTTGAGAATAGTCTGCAAGTGAGTGATGATTTGAACTATCGAGTTGACCTTGTAAATGAATTCGATTGATATAAGACACCAAAGGTAGTAGAAGATGATTGGAAATCAGAGGTCTCGCAAATCCACTTGATTGCAAAAGAGAATATAATATATCTGATGTCTTACAAGATAGGCAGAGATAAAAGACGGATTTTAACGACAAAGCACAGAAGCAGACCCTCAAGCTCCATTTCAACCCTCAAGAAGAAGGAGTCTTGGTGTAAAACCGGATGCCGAGAGCTAAGCCTAGGATTAGAAGAGGAACAAGGAACTGAAGGATCTTGATGACAAGATCGGAGCTCTTGTCCTGGTTAGCCTCGGCCTGCTTTGGAGGAGGGACAAACTTGGTTTTAGTTGGGACAGTGGCTGAGTCAATATCACCGACATAGAACTCATCTAGCATGGCCTTTGCAGTAGAACTGTGACCCACATCTTCAAAATCATCGGTGGCGTCTTTCCCTGAGAAGTGAAAACCAACAAGTATTGTATGAGTAATAAGGCCCATGGATGAGTGGTTTCTCCTTGTAAACAGAAACTGTGTCGCTAAGAGCAAAACAAGAACTAAGAAACCAAGAAAGATCTGTAATGAGAGTTGATAGACATAATATGTTACCTGTAGCAGTCAATATGACATCGTCGCCACCAGGATGGTCGTCCAAGAACTTTGTCACATCATAGACCTATAACATTCCATTAAAAATGAATAACGAAAACTGAAAACTTGGGCGATCTATCACATTGTCGTCCCTAATTACAGACATCAAATTAAGTGGGTGGCCAACTTTTTCACAGATCAAACAAACAAACATGGAGTATAACATTGAAATACGAATCTAGGATATAGCAAACAAAAACAGAAATCTGGCAAAGTAGATCGGATCTAACGAATAATAGTATAAGCAGAGAGAGAAAAGAAAAGAGATCAGAGTAGGGACCTTGCCCTCGATGACGATCCAACAATCCTTGGGGCTACTGTGCTGAGAAACCTCCGACAAGGTGAAAACTTTGCCATCTCCGCCCATCTTCCAAAGAATTGAGAGGAAGAAGAAAGTGAAATGGCTCTCTCTCTCTCACACCAACACTTCTATTCTCTTACGGAGTGTCTGGTCTGGTCAAAGTGCATTTCATCTCATCTCTAGACTTTGTGGGTAAATTACACACTGGAAACTAACACGGTAATTAATTGTAACGGTAGTAGCTGGCAAAGATTTTTTTTCTTTTTATTTTTTATCATCTTATAAACCAAAGGAAAATTAGGCGAAATAACAATCAAAAATTTATAAATTTACTGTCTAACAATAATAGGAACTGGCTATGATATTTTGTATATCTTATACAATATATTTACCAAAATTGCCCCAAACTCTCTCTATC